AGATCTCGGTGTCCATGTGCATAGATCACTGAAAGTTGCCACCCAGGTTGATAGCGTTGTTAAGAAGGCGTACAGTATGTTAGGTTTTATTGGTAGAGGGATTGAGTTTCGGAGCCATGAGGTCACGTTGCAGCTATACAAAACTCTGGTGCAGCCGCACTTGGAGTATTGCATACAGTTCTGGTCACCGCATTATAGGAAGGATGTGGAAGCATTGGAAAGGGTGCAGAGGAGATTTACCAGGATGTTGCCTGGTATGGAGGGAAGGCCTTATGAGGAAAGGCTGAGGGTCTTTAGGCTGTTTTCGTTAGAGAGAAGGTTAAGAGGTGACTTGATAGAGACATACAAGATGATCAGAGGATTAGATAGGGTGGACAGTGGGAGCCTTTTTCCTCGGACGGTGATGGCTAGTACGAGGGGACATAGCTTTAAATTGAGGGGTGATAGATATAGGACAGATGTCAGAGGTAGGTTCTTTACTCAGAGAGTAGTAAGGGCGTGGAATGCCCTGCCTGCAAAAATAGTAGACTGGCCCACTTTAAGGGCATTTAAATGGTCATTGGATAAACATATGGATGATAATGGAATAGTTTAGGTTAGATGGGCTTCAGATTGGTTTCACAGGTCGGCGCAACATCGAGGGCCGAAGGGCCTGTACTGCGCTGTTGTGTTCTGTGTTCTGTGTTCAAAGATTGAGTCTTTGGAACTCCTTCTAACAGAGAACTATGTAGGCAGAGTCCTTTTGGATATTTAAGGCAGAGATAAGTAGATTCTTGCTCAGTCAGGGAATCTAGGGTTATGTGGATTAGGCAGAAAAGTGAGAAGTATTGGATCAGCCATGGTTATGCATCATTCTGCTGCTAAGAACTTTGATGCACATGTTGAAATGGCAGGCTTCAGAAGAATGCTGATGGCTGTATTTGGAAACTGCTTGGGGTACTATGCAGGCTGCTGAGGTGACACAGCGTGGTGGACCTCTCAATGCAGAGCCAGTCTATTTTCTTCTTTTTAGTTTCCCCCCCGCCCCCCGTAACTACTTCAATCAACCTGCTTAGACATCTGAAGACATTCCAGAGTAGGTGGGATCAAACCCAGATCTTCTGGGCCCAGAAGTAGGGACACTTTCACTGCACCACAGGACTCTTTTTTTTCCAAGGTAGAATGAGTGACTAACTTGATCAACTGTAGAATTCACCATGATGGAGCATCTCAGAAGCTTCTGACAAAGCAGAAAATGCTGCCATGAAAGTTTTTAGTCTTGATTGTGGGTACCAGTGATCAAAGGAGTTTTTCAGGATGTTGCCAGAATTTTGTGCTCAGTTTTCCAATCATGCACTAAGGGTGATGAAGATGTGCAGCTAGAATTGACTACCTTGGAGGAAGAGCTGCTGTCCACTCCTCCACAGGAGGGCCAAAACCTGCTGCTACCCCAGCAGTAGTGTTGCTGGTGTGTGTGAAACAACTAGCCCCAACAGCTATAGCCTACGTAGAGATGATATAATCTGGAAATGTGCCTTACAAAACCCAAGGTCTTCATGGCTGTCCTCCAAGGCCTTCTGCATTATCTATATTAATAGTTTGGAAAATCTCCACTGTGTAAGGGGGAGGTAATGGCCTAGTGGTATTATTGCTGGACTGTTAATCCAGAGGCCCAGATAACATTCTGGGGACCCGGGTTCAAATCCCGTCATGGCAGATGGTGGAATTTGAATTCAATAAAATATCTGGAATTAAGAATCTAATGATGACTATGAAACCATTGTCGATTGTCGGGGGAAAACCCATCTGGTTCACCAATGTCCTTTAGGGAAGGAAATTGCCATCCTTACCTGGTCTGCCCTACATTTGATTCCAGACCCACAGCAATGTGTTTGACTCTGAACTGCTGTCTGGGCAATTAGGGATGGACAATAAATGCTGCCTAGCCAGTGACATTCTCATCCTGTTAATGAATAATGAATAAAGTTTAAGCTGTAACATTTGGGAAAATAACTCAGAAGTGACAGGAGAGGCAAATGACCACAGAAGATAGGCAATAAGGGAAGGCACAAGGGTGATTTGTTAGATTTTATATAAAATGCAAGAGTTTCGTGCCAGAAATAGTTAAAAAGTCTATATTAGTGTTGTAGCTATTTATGGTTAAATAGTGTTGCAACTTCAGATGAGGACCTGACACATCATTAACTGTTAATATTGCTCCACGTTGTTGTTAGTCTTACAAGACTGCGATTCCCTTTTTTGCTTTAGGGAATCTGCTTATTAGTTTCTCATTAAACCCTTCATCTAAATGCACGTTTTGTCAATAAAAGTATGAATACTCTATTAACTGCAGTATAGATGTTGGTGATCCATCAACATCATCTCAGGCACTGAAAATTAACTATTACAAGTTTGAGGTTTTGAATTTTTTAGTGAGAATTTACAAATATTTTAAAAAATCTTTTTTAAATATAAAATTTTGTTTTGTCTTTTTTTGTTGCTTTCTGGCCTCATGATGTACATCAAATGTTTTTTAAAGTCACATTCAAGACGCAAAGAAAATGCTTCAAAGGCAGAATGCAATCAAAAAGACAAAGGAAGGGCCACCCAACCTGAATGGGCATAGCATTCACAATGAGATAGATGATTGAAAGTCACAAATAGGGGCAAATGGTATGATATATGACTCTTGCATTTTATATAAAATCTAACAAATCACCCTTGTGCCTAAAAAATCTATCTTTTATAATGAAGTTTTAGAATATTGTAAAGAAAGATAGATGAGTAGAAGCCAAAAAAGAAGATTCAGTTCAACGACTAACTACGTGATAAATCCTGAAGAAGTGGCTATGCTATACTTCAGACTGAACAAACTGATCTCATCTTGGCTTGCTCATTTTTGCCTAGCTGATATTTTGAGAGGCATGCAGCTTTAAGTAGAAACTTTATCATTTGTTTTCTCTAATGCCATTGTTAAAGTTAATCATGTCGTTATGAGATAATAATGTATGCTTTCAGTTTTTTTCGTTGAGGTCACTAAAGACCTGGTACTGTGTGTAGAGTACCGTCCTTTGCCTTTACCTGATGACCCTATTCGGTGGATTAGCTGGAGGTCAGCTTTTCAATAAAATTGATCTTCGATGAACACGTCTCCAGTTGAATATAGATGCTGAATCACTGATATACATGATTGTATCAAGCAAAAAACAAATTCAAGTTGCCATAGTCCCTGTACTTTTATGAGAGAGAGAAAACTGGTGGCAGTTTAACCTGAGGTTCAGTACGCCTCCGGTGAGGGGAGAGGTTGAGGACAATCCAAGGTAACGCCAGCCAATGTGGGAAGCAAACCAACACTGTTGGTATTGCATTGCATTGCAAACCAGCTGTCCCGACATCTGAGCTAACTGACTCCTTTTAACACAGGACTATTCAAATACAATTCCATTTGGAATCACACTGCACCTGCACTATCACAAAATACCATGGATCAGATTTAAAGTAGATTGGATAGAGTTCAGTATTACCTAGATGGTATTTTAGTCATGAGGAGAAATGAAAAAGAGCGTCTCCACAGTTTAGATGCTACTCTGCAGAGACTTGAAGGTTATGGCTTAAGATGAGGAAAGACACATGAATTTAAAAAAAAAAAAAAATCTTCCATTGAATATTTAGGCTGTATTATTGATGGCAGGGATGATAGCCAAAAGATATTCTGGTGGGTAAATCTCAACTCTGAAATTGAGAAGAAGGCAAGAATATGTGGAGCTTGTGTTCTCAACTTAACCCCCCCCCCACGTCTTTCTTTTTGTTTCTTCCTTAATCCATTCATGGGATGAAGGCATCGCTTTCTAGGCAGCATTTATTGCCTATCCCTATTTGCCCAGAGGGAATTTATGAGTCAACCACATTACTACGGGTCTGGGGTCTCTTGTAGGCCAGACCAGGTAAGGCTGGCAGTTTCCTTCCCTAAAGGACATTAGTAAACCAGATGAGTTTTCCCAACAAATGACAATGAATTCATGGTCATCATTAGACTCTTAATTCCGAGTATTTAGTGAATTCAAATTCTACCATCTACCATAGCGGGATTCAAACCTGGGTCCCCAGAACATTATCTGGGTTTCTGGATTAACATTCCAGCGACAATAGCACTAGGCTGTCACCTCCCACTATTAACATCATTACATCCATGAGAATGGCCAGAAAGGACGTAGCAAAAAACCCATGTTGACTACGCTAGACTTTTTGAAGGATGAATATTTTTCATTGCTGTTGATGCAAATACTAAATGGTCTGAAGTTACCATCATGAGGACAACATCTTTGTAGAAAACCGTTGAAAGGCTGGGAGAGATCGTGGCAAGCTTTGGTTATCCAGAGCAACTTTTTAGTGATAATGATCCACAGCTTGTATTGCAAGAGTTTACAGACCATCTGAAGCAGAGTGGAATTCAACATATCTGATCGGCTCCTTATCTCCCAACCACGTGGCTTTGCAGAAAGATTTGTGGAGACAATGAAACGTTCCTTTACAGTAACCTGAGAACAAGGATTACTATCCAATTTTTATTAAAATACCAGAATACAGCCCACTTGATGACACCAAGTTCTCTGGCATTGTTCATGGTAAAACGTCAATTGTTGAACCCACCCATCACAAGTTAAGTTAACGGAGACAACAGAATCAATGAGACAACGAAGCCAAGCGCTGAGTTTCCAGAAGGGTCAAGAAGTGTTGCTGAGGAATTATATCACTGGCAGGAATTGGGTACCAGCCTTCATTGTAGCACAGACTGGACTGATTTCCTATACCGTACAGAAGAGAAACGATGTAGTATGGAGAGGACATGCAGATCAACTCTTGGCAACCTGAATGAATGTGCCTAGGACGGCATTATTTGAAAATACACACCAATTGTATCAAATAGAGATCTGGGTGTGCCTGAGGACCAAACAATAACTGGAGCATCTGAGAAAGACAGTACCTTTTGTGGAGAATGCAACATTGCATGATCCTCCAAGCGTTTAATCATCTCGTGAAATGATAACGACAGATGATGTTCCTGGTGCACTTTAAGGCCAATGAGAAAAATCAATATGCCTGAGGTGCATCAACAGCCACACAGGAGTTGATGTTTTCTGGAGTGTCTTATCTACTTACTTTTCTACAAATGATTCTAAAGGTCATGGATGTTTTCATGACAGGACCTCTGATATAAAATGGGAGGGATATTGTGTATTTGTGTAATATGGTGGACTGACCTTTAAGTCTGGTCTTGTGATGTACTAATGACCTCAGACATTTCAGGCAGAAAGCAGTTTACTATAATCTCACTGTCTGTAGAATAAACATCTCCTTAATAAAGCTGCTGCTATTTAATGCTCCAGCCACTTAGTCCTTCTTGGAACTGAACAACTGTGAAGGCAATGAAAACAAGTAGATGTAGCGGTCATTGCCAGCAGTCTAATCCCAAAGGCCCTTATTGCAGTGCAAGAAGAAGTTTATTCACTTCACCTGAGCAAACCAGGTCAGTGAATACAACGTCAAATGCTACATCCGTACGGATGAAGTACTAATTGCACATGTTGCTGTATTTGCCATCACTCCCACACGCCATCACCCCTTGCTCATTCCAACACCACCCCCACCCACCCCCACCCCCCACCCCACTAACTCAACCACCAACATTCTTTATCAAGCTTGGTGTACGTTAGCAACAACTCATCTCCTACTTGCATACTTAGCATTGCCACAAGCTTGACATCAACATCTCTCAGCTTGCACATCATGCCACTGATTGAACAATGACTGGCATAGCACCCAAACACAGTGAAAAGTACTCAGTGAAACACTCTGCTCTTTTGCAGGACAGGGTGCTATCTAACACAGGTAGCAGCATATAATCAGCTTGGGGACAGACATGACTGCATGTCCTCAGCGTGTGGAGAAGATGGGACTGGCGCTCATTGGTGTGGCCATGACTGGGGCTTAGTCAACAATGGGGCTGAGACTGTAAAAGATGTGGTCCCTAACTAGACAATCTCATTACATTACCCTTATCTCCATATTCTGGTATACAAACTGCACAAGGTGCAGCACGGAGGAAAAGAGAACGTTAGAGGGAAATAAAGGACTATGCTTTTTCATAAATGTAGATTTGTGAAAGATCTCTGTATTTTATTTCCATTTGTCAGGTTGGCTCTCACCAGTTACGGCTGACCCGAGGTATTGAAGCTAATGCCCCTGCTTTTGACAGGTATTATGTGTTATTGAAACTAGATCTTATGATACAAACAGTACTGAGTCTGCATGTCAGATAATCTTGATATTAGAAAATAACATTACATCATTATCAACTTGTATCACATGATTAGTGTGATAAAACATCCTGAGATGCTTTAAAGGAGTGTTTTGAAATAAGTTAGGATGACCAGTCATTTGAACTAAGTTCAAGTCAAAGAAAAGGGACATCTTAAAGGAGGAAACAGACAGGTGTGAGAGCTTGATGTTTTCCGCTCAAAGTTGCATACCTGATGCATGGCGAAGATAACATTTGGAGTTATAACCCTCCTTTCTTCCCCTTGTGGGAGAGTCAAAGGACATCATCTCAGGGTTTGAAATTGCCTATTTAAGACAAATGAGTTTTTTGTTTCTCTCACAGGGGTTGTGAATATGTGAAATTCTTTACCACAGTGGGCTGTCAAAACTGGGTCATTAAATATACTCAAGGCTGAAATAGACAGATTTCTAGTCATTAAGCCAATCAAGGATAATTAGAATAAGGCAAGAAAGTGGAGTTGAGGACTGTCAGCTCAGTCATTACTTCAATGAATGGCTGAGCAGGCTCCATGTGGGCCTAACGATTTAAAGAATCATATCATAGAATCCCTACAGTGTGGAAACAGGCCCTTCGGCCCAACAAGTCTACACCGAACCTCAGCACCCCACCCAGACCCATCTCCCTATAACCCACCTAATCTACACATCTCTATGGGCAATTTAGCATGGTCAATCCACCTAACCTGCACATCTTTGGACTGTGGGAGGAAACCGGAGCACCTGGAGGAAACCCACGCAGACGCAGGGAGAATGTGCAAACTCCGCATAGACAATCGCCCGAGGGGAAATCGAACCTGGGTCCCTGGTGCTGTGAGGCAGCAGTGCTAACCACCGTGCCACCATGCTTAGAAATGCCCCATGCTCCCTCTTACTACTCCTTATCCCTCCACAACCACTCCATGGTCCCTCATACTCCTGTGCCATCTCTTACTCCCATGGTTGTTTTCATGTCCCCTTCATATCGCCTGCCTGTTTAAGGTCTTCTCCATATCCTGATAATCACCCCTGGTATCCACTATAGGTAGAGCTCAGGAACACGTATTTGAAATGAATGACAGTTTTTTTTTTTCCCTCAATCTAAAGGAGTTCTCAGTCAAAAACATTGCACATTTTTAAAAAAAGCTCCAAAACCATTCAAAATGATGAATCTCCTCAAGTGTTGAATCTGTTGAAACTACAAATAAACACCATTTTAGTAATCATATTAAAGATGCTTGATACCTTTCTACAGATTGGTAATAGCAAAATTTTTTTCAAAGGACATTGAATTTGTAGATATTAATGTCAAAAGAGACTTGGCTAAACATGTACAGGGAATGTGAAATTAACAAACAACTCGAGGCAACCAGCATATTGGGTTTTATTGCAAAATAAATAGATGCTAAGAAGGAAGTGTTGCTAAGATTGTAAAAGGTTTGGTAACTTCGATACTTTGCAAAGCTTTGGTCCCCATATTTAGTCACAATCTTAGCAACACTTCCTTCTTAGTATCCATTTATTTTGCAATAAAACCCAACGTGTTGGTTGTCTTCCTAGATGCTTGTCAACTTTGTGTTCCTGGGCATGTGTAGGCAAGTCTGTCTGGATATTAATATCTACAAGTTTCATACCCTTTGGAAAAAAAACTTCTATTTTATTACCAATATGTAGAAAGACATCAAACACCTTTTGACATGGTTAATGAAGAGGTGCTTATTTGTAGTTGCAACAGATTGACCACTTGAGTGGATTTATCATTTGAATTGTTCTGGACTTTTTCTTAATATGCAGTGTTTTTTGAGTGAGAACTCCTTTTAGAATGATCATTTTTTCTCATTCATTTCAAAGATATGGTTCCTGAGCTCTGCCTGTAGTGGATGCAGGGTGTGGCTATCAGGATATGGAGAAGGGCTTAAGGAGTTGGGAGGTATGAAGGAGGTAAGGAAGGACTAGAGAAGCATAAGGGAGTATGTGGTATAGGCATTTGGTAAGGGTGGGGGCTGAGGTGTGGGGATAGCATTCTTCCATTATGGTTGGATTATTCTTGCAATAAATGGTAGTGTACCTCCTAGCTTGTGGCTTTGTCATTCGTCCACCTCCATTGCTGTCTGATGCCTATCCAGAAGCAGCAGTTCCAAAAGAAGTGGTGTTAAGATTGTACAGTGGCTTGGTATGACAATATAACTTCCATATTGTGCATAGTTTTGGTCTCCATATTTAATTAAAAGGACATACTTGTATTGGATGCAATGCAGTAAAAATTCACTGGTTGTGGAATAATGATTCTGTGATTCCGAATCGATTCTGTGATGAGGTTATCCTATGCTGTGTGATGCTTACTTCAAGAGGCAGCACTTCTGACTCAAGGTGGCATGGTGACTCAGTGATTAGCACTACTACCTCACAGCACCAGGGACCTGGGTTTGATTCCAGCCTTGGGCAACTGTCTGTCTGGAATTTACATGTTCTCCCTGTGTCTGTGTGGGTTTCAGCAGCATGCTCTGGTTTCTTCCCACAGTCCAGATGTGCAGGTTAGGTGGATTGGCCATGCTAAATTGCCCTGTAGTGTCCCCGGATTACAGGCTAGTTGAATTAGCCATGGTATATGAGGCTATACGGATTGGCTGTGGTACTGGGTCTAGATGGGATCTCTTTGAGGGACAGTGCAGTATTGATGGGCTGAATGGCCTCTTCCTGCCCGTTAGGGATTCAATGATTCTATGATTCAACTCCTTAGAGGTGACACAATTGATTAAGAATGATATTTAAACGCATGCTAATACTTTTAGGATTGGCAAAGTAGCTGTCAGCACCTTCTGTAATCATGATGAGAAATGTAACCAATACTATAGGCATGGTGGATTTGTAGCCAGTTATGTTGGAACCTACCTTTTAGAATGTAATTTGAACAACGTTCAACCTTCACAGCTTTAATCAATGGTCTTAGGGTAATCAGGGACTAGGCAGGAGACTTTGTTACACTCATGGTGAAAGCAAATACCCATGCTAATGAGAAAATGAAAGAAACATCTGCAGAGTGTAACTGGCTCTTTTTATTGATTAAAATATGTAAGTATTAAGATAACACGAACTGTAGTAAAGGGAAATATTGCAACAAAACGTGAAATTTAAGGTTATAAATTGCCAACCTGACCATGTAGCAGAGAAACATCTTGGTGTAGTTTACCAAGAGTGTCTTGCAGCGTAATACTGATGAAATAGTTAGTGACAGCTGAACCCAAGTTTCAAAGTGGCTATTTAGGGCACAAAATCTTCCCATCCTCAGTTATGTAGAATTAAAATATGATGGGTGGAAAGTATTTGGAAAAGATGTTGGTCTGTTAAATTGGAAAAGTTCCCAGGAATAAAACTTTGTTGTGCACTTTGCAGTTTAAATATTTGGCTCTGGGCTCCATTGTTTACTAGGTAAAGGTAGAATTTAAGTAGTCTGAAATACTGATTGCCCCTAATAGCTCCACATTCTCAGCAGCAAGGGCTTTTCCTCACTTCCAGATCTCTGCAGTTTGCATTCCTTGCCCTCTAGCAAATATTCTTACACCCTTTGTGATCATTATTTTCTAATTGCATGATTGTACGAGAGAAGTGTGGAACAAATTCTCATGATGTCAAAATTCCAAATGTAACGTTGACCCTTGCCAATCAAATTTATTTCAGATAGCATTCTTTATTCATTTAAATTGACTGACAAGTTGTTTAATTTAGTCATAGAGGTGTACAGCAGCACAGAAACAGGCCCTTTGGTCAAACATCTACTATGCCAACCAGGGTTCCTAAACTGAATGAGTCCCATTTGTTTCTGTTTGGCTCATATCCCTCTAAATCTTTCCTATTTGCGTACTTGTCCAAATGCCTGTTAACCTTGAGCACTTCCTCTGGCACCTCAATCCATATATGCACCACCCTCTGTGTGGAAAAAGTTGCCTCTTAGGTCCCTTTTTCAATCTTTCCCCTCTCACCTTTAAACCTATGCCCTCTAGTTTTGGACTCCGCCACCCTGGAGAAAAGACCTTAGCTATTCAGCCTATCCATGCACCTCATGATTTTATAACTCTCATAACGTCACCCCTCAGCCTCTGACGCTCCAAGGAAAATAGCCCCAGCTTATTCAGCCTCTCCCTATAGCTCAAACTATCCAACCCTGGCAACATTTTTGTAAGTCTTTTCTGACCCCTTTCAAGTTTCACAACATCCTTCCTATTGCAAGGAGACTAGAATTGCATGCAGTATTCCAAAAGTGGCCTAACCAATGTCCTGTAGAGCCACAGCATGACCTCCCAACTCCTACACTCAATGCAGTGACCAATAAATGCAAGCATACCAGATGCCTTCTTCACTACCCTGTTTACCTGCAACTCCACTTTCAAAGAACTATGAACCTGCACTCCAAGGTCTCTTTGTTCAGCAACACTCCCCAGGACCTTACCATTAAGTGTATAAGTCCTGTCCTGATTTGCTTTTCTAAAATGCAGCATCTCATATTTATCTCAATTAAACTCCATCTGCCACTCCTTGGCCTACTGGCCCAGTTGATCAAGATCCCATTGTACTCTGAGATAACCTTCTTCACTGTCCTCTATACCACCAGTTTTGGTGTCATGTGCTAACTTGCTAACCATGCCTCCTATGTTCACATCCAAATCACTTCTTTAAATGGTGAACAACAGTGGACTCGGCACCGAGCTTTGCAACACACCACTGGTCCCAGGTCTCCAGTTTTTCAAACAACCCTCTACCACCACTCTCTGTCTCCTACCTTCAAGCCAATTTTGTATCCAATTGGCTAGCTGTCCCTGGATTCCATGTGATCTAACTTTACTAATTTTGTCTACTATGTGCTATCTTGTTGAAGGCCCTGTTAACGTCTATATAGACAATGTCTATCATGCTGCCCTCATCTATATTCTTGGTGGTCTCTTC